CCAGACGCCGGCAAAGCTGCCCCGGAGCTGCGGCGAGGGGCACCCCGAGCCCCGCCGGGCATCGCCCTCTCCCGGGTGCCATCCCCAGGGAGCTGAGCGTGTCGGGGCAGTGGATGAGGAAGAGGAGGGTCCCTGCCCCCCCCAAGGGGAGCCACTGCCCGCCCCAGGAAAAGGGCTCCCGTAGGCAGCGCGTGGCCGCGTGTGGCACGTACGGTGCCCCTACCCAAGCACGTCTGCACCCACGGTAGTAGCCGCAGATAGGAATTAAACTAATTGGGTTTAATTAGCCTGTGTAAACAAGATCCTTAAATTTGTTGCCACAGGAGGGTTTTGGCAGTCTCCAATAAATTAATCCTTTTTATTATATCAATGACAGGAAGATGATCAAATAGGCTTTGATATAGATTTTGGGATTTATCACCTAGTAGCACTCTGATATGCTTGAACTTTTTTTTCCTGCTGTTGCTGCTGGAGGCAAGAACGAGGCTACGAATGGCGTTCGCTTCAGAGCCGGCTCACGGGCGGAACGGGGGATTTGGCAACAAACGGAGGGGGGACGCCAGGGAAACTTTGAAGAAAAGTTTGTTTTCAGGATTTGTTCGGAAAGTAGAGTGTTCAGCGAGAAGGGTCACTCAGGGAGAGATGCGGGGACAGCGGGACCCTGGAACGCGGCTCAGCACTCCTGTCAGCGTCCCGCAGCCAGGGATGCCGCTGGTGCTGGCGCCGTGCGCACGGAGCCGGCCCAGGGCTTCTCCCCCCCGGCTCAGGAGCTGCTCCCTGCCCCCAGGAAGGGGGGTACGTGCGTGTAGATGAGGGCAGCCCCCGGGGCTCCTGGGCTGCGCTAAACACGGCGTGGTCACACGCGCTGCTGTTTCTCCGCATCCGCATCCGCACCACGGCCTTGTCCCACAGCCTCAGCCTCGCCCGTTTCTCCCGGCGCTGCCTCCCGGTCAGCCCGGACCGTGCCACCGCTCCTCCCGCCGCACCGAGCCTGGGTGCAGACGGGCCTCACCGGGCACACACCTGATTCCCGGGTACTCCGACAGCACCGACGGCCTGGCCGTCAGCAAAGATTTTCAACGCCGGCACCAACCGCTGTCACCCACTGCAGGGAAGGGGCGAGCGGCTTTGTATTTCTGGTGCGTGGGGAAATCAGATTCCGATCGGCTGCCCGAGGTGCCCGCAGGAGGCCAGCAGCACCCGCATCCCGCCTGGAAAGCCCAGGAGACCAGTTTAGTTGCCACACTGTCCCAGGCGTCCCCTCTCCTCCGTGGGCGCAATGGCCGGGGAGCTGCTGCACACAAACCCTTCTCCTGCTCTCTGCCACCAAGGGAAGGATAACTGGATGGGAATTCTAATCATATATTATATTACCGTGTCATATTAGACTAATAAAATCCTAATATGATACAGGAATGGGGAGCATATCATAACTCCTCTGTGGCTAATACAATGCATGCAATAAATCACTCCCAGGGCTTATCCTTAACAATTGTATCAGTGCTTTCTGTGTCACGCTGATAACTCAGTCCCTCTGATCTAATGGTTCACTTTTCTTCACAGTCCATATGGCAGTGACATTAAAGCTAATGAAATAAAATAAAATTTGCCAATCTTTGAAGAATTCCATTCTTTAAAAAGATGTATTTTATTAACACAAACTGGAAACATCTTCAGTTACTCGGAGTTATTTTTATCACATTGGAAATACACGGCACAGATACTGGCATCAGCATCTTAGAGCCGACTCACGTGTGGTCTCTGCAAGAGGCACCGCTACAGGATAACACCGCGTGGCCCAGCCTAGCACGTAACGCCGAGTTCGCATCACCAGCAGAGCTGCCCCCATTGAACCAGTCCCGTGGGGTGTGGATTTTGCCGTGCTGGAAGGTCACAATCTCCCCGACTCTTCCCTTCCTGGGCTGAGCATCCCTCGTTGCATCCAAGGCCAGACACGCAGGGAGCCGAGAGCTTGCTGCCGGAATGCCAGGGAGCGCAGACCGTCACCCGCCTCGCTCTTGGCACACCAAGGTTTGCTCTTCCTCGTGGGGCTGCGCCAGGGCTGCGCCTGTAGCGATCCGGGTCACAAACCCGGGTGCCTCTGCCAGCGTGCCCCCAGGGCTGCGGGGCTCCCCACAGCAGGACACCCCGGCCACCGGCAGCTCCCTGGAGCAGTGGCCGTGCCACAGCCCCCCGGGACAGGTGCTCGGGCGGGTTGGAGGGAGCTGGGGCTGTTCCCAAGGCCGCGGCTCCCCTCCAGACACCCCGTCACAGCCCCGGGAGGCAGAGCGCGGCGACGACGGCGGCGGGCACAGGAGACGGCGATTCCTGGGACCCGCTGCAAGTCCCCCGGCCGCTCCCGCTGTGCTCCGTGCGGGGCCTCGGGGCTGGCACCTCCC